AGCTGGGCATGGTGGCGCGTGCCTGTAGTCCCAGCTACTCAGGAGGCTGAGGCAGGAGAATTGCCTGAACCCAGGAGGCGGAGGTTGCGGTGAGCCGAGATCGCGCCATTGCACTCCAGCCTGGGTAACAAGAGTGAAACTCCGTCTCCAAAAAAAAAAAAAAAAAATTCCTTATGAGAGAGAAAGACAGGAGTGTCAGAGTCAGAGAGAGACTGGAAGATGCTATTCTGCTGGGCTTTGAAGATGAAGGAATAAAGAGGTCATAAGCCAAAAATCATGGAAACATCTAGAAGCTTGAAAAGGCACCTCCAGAAGGAAATGGGACCTTGTTGACACCTTGATTTTAACCCTGTCAATCCCGTTTTCAGAATTCTGGCCCCCAGAACTACAACACAATAAATATATTTATGTTGTTTTAAGTCATTACATTTGTGGCAGTTTGTCACAACAGCAATAGAAAATTACCACAGTCCATGTTATCTCTCCCCAACTCCCCACCCCCCACTGTCCCTCCCCTATTTCCCCCAACAGACCCCAGTGTGTAGTGCTCCCCTCCCTGTGTCCATGTATTCTCATTGTTCAACACCCCCCATGAGTGAGAACATGTGGTGTTTGATTTTCTGCTCTTGTGTCAGTTTGCTGAGAATTATGGTTTCCAGGTTCATCCATGTCCCTACAAAGGACACGAACTCATCGTTTTTGATGGCTGCATAATATTCCATGGTGTATATGTGCCACATTTTCCCTGTCCAGGAGAAATGCCAGATATAGGTGAAGGGAAGGAAGGCAGCAAATCACACTGCCATGTGTGTACCTATGCAACAGTCTTGCATGTTCTTCACATGTACCCCAAAACCTAAAATGCAATAAAAATAAATAAATAAATAAATAAAATTACCACAATCCATATTTAGATTGTTTTCAGATTTGGCTAAAGAACACTGCTTCACAAACGTTTTTGCTTATATATCCTAGTATAAAAACACATGCAAGAGTTTCTCCAAGTTAGGCCAGGCACAGTGACTTATACCTGTAATCCCACTTTGGGAGGTGGACACAGGAGAACTGAGACCAGCCTGGGCAACACGGCAAAACCTCATCTCTACAAAAGTACAAAAATTAGGCAGGCCTGGTGGTGCGCATCTGTAGTCCCAGCTACTCAAGGGGCTGAGGTGGGAGGATCACCTGAACCTAGCAGGTCAAGGTTGCAGTGAGCCAAAAATCACACCACTGCACTCCAGCCTGGGGAAAAGAGTTTCTCCAGGTTATATGCTTACGAGTGTAACTGCTATAAGTGTATGTTCAGCTTTTCCAGGAAATGGCAAAATGATTTCCAAAACAGTTGTATCAATTTAAATCAATTTAAATAGGAGTTACTGTTGAGCCATATCCTCAAGAATTTTTTTTTTTTTTTTGAGACAGTCTTACTCTGTTGCCCAGACAAGAGTGCGGGGGCACAGTCTTGGCTCACTGCAACCTCCGCTTCCTGGGTTCAAGTGATTCTCGCACCTTAGACTCCCGAGTAGCTGGGACTACAGACCTATGCCACCATGCCCAGCTAATTTTTGTATTTTTAGCAGAGACAGGGTTTCACCAGTTGGCCAGGCTGGTCTCAAAACTCCTGGCCTCCAGTGATCTGCCTGCCTTGG